GCATCTGGGCAGCCACTGTGAGAAGAGGACACGTTCTTGGACAGTCCAGTGGCCGGATCGAGCAGGCTCTTTCTGTCTTCTTAGGTTCTGCATACCAGCTGCTGCTGCTGCCTCACTCTCCATTTCCATTCCGGAAACAAAATCCCATCATTAATGTTATGTACTGAGTTGAATAGGATCCAAAATGCAGCAGTCTGATTGGTCCTAGAACAATAGGATTCAGAATGCAGCAGTATGATTGGTCCTAGAACAATGCAGCAGTATGATTGGTCTGCAGGAGCCACCCAATCCAGCTCCAGATGGAAGTGAATCCACAACCTGATTGGCCTACAGGGGAATTCCGGAATTAGCCAATCACGTGCAGCCCATTGTGTAAATAATGTATATAAAGCAGATACTTTGAGGGGACATTCATTCCTCCTCACCACTATGAGCTGAATAAAGAGCATGAAATCCACTCTCAACTCTGAGTATATTTCAATTAAAGAAGCACATGCTGCCTTGGTCAGACCACACCTGGAATACTGTGTCCAATTGTGGGCACCACAATTTAGGAAGGATGTTGACAAGCTGGAACGAGTGCAGAGGAGGGCGGCCAAGTTGATCTGGAAGCAAAGCCTTATGAGGAACAGTGGAGGGAGTTGGGTATGTTTAGCCCTGGAAAAGAGGAGACTGAGAGGAGATATGATAAACATCTCCAAATATCTCAAGGACTATTACATGGAACGGGGTGCCAACTATAGGGGGCCCTGGGGACCCAAGCAACTGCAAAATTTTTGTTGTGGGTGCTCAGCACTCACACCGCAGGGCCCCCACGTGCCAGAAGTCACATCCAAGGTCTCATGAGACCTCAGAGATGCTGCCCGAGGCCTTGCGAAAACCTCAGAACCTGACTTCTGGTGCCACCGGAAGTCAGGTTCTGAGGCTGTGGGGCGCATGATGTCGTGACCCATAACCTGGGGCCCACGTCAGCACCCCTGACATGGAAGATAGAGCAAGTTTGTTTTCTCCTATTCTGGAGGGTAGGACTCGAACCAATGGCTTCAAGTTACAAGAAAGGAGATTTCGACTAAACATCAGAAAAACTTTCTGACAGAGCTGTTCGACAGTGGAACGGTCTCCCTTGGGAATTTGTCCAGGCATAGGCAAACTCCGGCCCTCCAGATGTTTGGGACTACAGTTCCCATCATCCCTGACCACTGGTCCTGTTAGCTAGGGGTGATGGGAATTGTAGTCCCAAACATCTGGAGGGCTGGAGTTTGCCTATGCCTGTTGTTGACTCTCCTTCATTGGAGGTTTTTAAGCAGAGGTTGGATGGCCATCTGTCATGGATGCTTTAGCTGAGATTCCTGCATTGAAGGGGGCTGGACTAGATGACCCTTGGGTCTCTGCCAACCCTACAATTCTATGATTCTACATCAGGTGCCCATTTCACATAGAGCACCCTTCCCAAAACATTGGATTTCTGTCAGAGAGGTTTTGTACTTTTTTAATATAAAAAAACCCTCTATGTTTAAAAACATTTCGAAACCTTATTAGATCCCTCATGCCTCTTACCTTGACTTTGGCTTTACACATTGTCATTTTTAACGCTAAAGTAAAGGTAAAGGTACTGCCCGTACGGGCCAGTCTTGACAGACTCTAGGGTTGTGCGCTCATCTCACTCTAGAGGCCGGGAGCCAGCGCTGTCCGCAGACACTTCCGGGTCACGTGGCCAGCGTGACGAAGCTGCTCTGGCGAGCCAGAGCCGCACACAAAAACGCCGTTTACCTTCCCGCTAGTAAGCGGTCCCTATTTATCTACTTGCACCCGGGGGTGCTTTCGAACTGCTAGGTTGGCAGGCGCTGGGACCGAACGACGGGAGCGCACCCCGCCGCGGGGATTTGAATCGCCGACCATGCGATCAGCAGGTCCTAGGCACTGAGGTTTTACCCACAGCGCCACCCGCGTCCCCCCTTTTTTTTTTAACGCTACTTTTCCCAATTAAGAGAAAATAAATCCTGCTTTCCTTTGTGATCCCCTAACGGTGCACCTGGAGAGAATATGTCATGTGCTGAACGAAGCTGAATAATTAAAGGCTCCTCCTGTGAGCTCCAAAGCATTCGCAGACCCCAGAGGTTGTGACTGGCAAGGCGGAGGCCTCTTGCATGAGTCACTGGCCTGCGGAGACCACCTCCTTTCCTTGGGGATCCTCCAGAGGTGGGCAGTCCTTCAGGGCCTCTAAGCCCTCTCTTTCCACACAGGGAAGCATTCGCTGCCCTCAGGGAGGCTGCCTGATGCAGCTCCGCACGAGTTGCTGCTATTTTGAGTGGTGGCAGAGGCAATGTGGGTGCTTTGAAGTCTTGCATGGGACTGACCACCACAATTATAGCACTTGATTATTATTTAAATTCCTTTTTTTGTGTCTCTCAAATCCTTTATTATTTTATTCACATAATATACATTCTTTACAGCAAACAACTCCCTAACCCTAACCCTAACTCCAAAATAAAATCATATGTAACAAACCATAAGTCTCATGTTTTCATTTACACAGATCTCCTCTCCGATACTTTTACTTGATATTTACTTGATATTACTTGATCAAGTATCAAAGTATCAAATATCATCAAGAAATATCAAGATTATTATTTCAATTCCTATAGCACCCTTCATCCAACGATCACAGGGCAGTTTACAATATAAAAACACAAACGTACACATAGGAGCCTTTGCCCCCTTCCCAATAAAATATTTTTGGGAGCTGGGCTCCCCCAAAGTTGATGGGCATTGCCATTCAAATGGTGGGTGTGGGTGTGTGTGGGTGTGCGCGCGCGCACTGCATCATGTGATCGATTATGTGAGGCAGGGCTTACCTGCCCCCCACCAAATATTTGATTCAAGTTGGCACCCGTGCGCATGCATCATAAACGAAAACAATAATCTACACACACAGTTTAAAAGGTCATAGATTGTTTAATTAGCCGGTTTCAGAAAGTGTGACTTAGGAAAGCTCATATTTCAGTGCAAATTAAACTTTCTCTCAGTTTTATATACGTCGCAAAATGGAATGATAATTAAAAACTTTACCTCCAAAAAGCAAACTAAATCTAGTTTCACCCCCATCACTAGCCAGAACATCATTTGCACATTAAAGCATCAGGCTTATCCTCTGGTAATAGAAGCATATTTGAGGCTGAAGCATGCAAAGTGGTGTTATTTGTGGAGTGGTGGGATCCACAGCAAACAAATCCATGAGTCCTTTCAATACTCAGCCAGAATCTACACACACACACACACACACACACACACACACACACACACTGCCCTCTTTAAAGTCTGGCACACCCAGAGGCATCATTGAGTCAAGGAAACATGCAGAAGAATGCTCAGCATCTTTCTAAAATCAGGCCATGTATTTGGGGCTGATGCATAGATGTTTAAGAATACAAGACTTTGCAATTCCGTGGAGTGGGCTTTTAAATTACTGTATTATTATTATTATTATTATTATTATTATTATTATTATTATCATTATTATTAACAGTAATAAGAATACAGTGGTACCTCAGGTTACACACGCTTCAGGTTACATACTCCGCTAACCCGGAAATAGTGCTTCAGGTTAAGAACTTTGCTTCAGGTTGAGAACAGAAATTGTGCTCTGGCGGCGCGGCAGCAGCAGGAAGCCCCATTAGCTAAAGTGGTGCTTCAGGTTAAGAACAGTTTCAGGTTAAGTACGGACCTCTGGAACGAATTAAGTACTTAACCCGAGGTACCACTGTAATAATTTATGATGATGGAGGCGGGCAGGAGAAAAAGAAGACTTTTTAATTCACTTTTCCCTTTCCTGACTTTTTTTTTTCTGGGGAAAGGCTTTACAGAGCACCTGCTTGGCATGCAGAAGGTCCCAGGTCCCATCCCCAATGGCATCTCCAGGGCAGGGTCCCTTGCCTGAAACCCTAGAGAGCCACTGCCAGACAGAGTAAACAGTGTTGAACTAGATGGACCAATGGTCTGCCTCAATATAAGGCAGCTTCCTATTTAATTCAGCTCTTTTAAAAAAAAAAAGAATCATAAGGACTAGAATCTTGATCTGTTTTTAAGGAAAGGGCTGTAGCTCCTTGGTAGAGCATCTGCCTTGCGAGCCGAAGGAACCAGGTTCTATCCCTAGTAGCATCCCCAGGTAGGGATACCTGAAACCCTGGAGAGCTGCTGCCAGTTAGTGCAGACAACACTGAGCTGGAAGGATCACCGCTCTCTGACTCAGTACAAAGCAGGTTCCTATGCATCTGTGCATTACGGGAAGGGCTGTAGCTGAACAGAAGAGCATCTGCTTTGCATGCAAAATGTCTCTGGTTCAACCCCCGGCAGCATCTCCAGGTAATGACCCCCCCCCCAAACCCTGGAGAGCTGCTGCCAGTCAGTGTAGACAATACTGAGCTAGATAGACCAGCGCTCTGAGTGCGTACAAGGCAGCTTTCCTGTGCTCCTACTTCGTGACACACACCAAGGATGGTTTACGCAGGAGCGGAGTCCATCATGAACCGCAGGCGAGAGAGATCCTTTCGGGTCAGAGCCCTGCCAGTCCGTCAGAGGGAAAGCAGAGAGCGAGAGGAGTAGACGGAAAAGGGGAAAGTGGCGGGGGGTGGGAGAAGCAATTAAAATGTTGCCCTTGTTGCAGCACAGCTGTTTGCAGCGCAGGGGAGGTTTTGAGCCCAAACAACGGGAGGGGGGACCACTGCAGCTTTTTGGGAGCGCACACAGAGAGAGGCTGGATTATTCCTCCCAACCAGCAGCTGAAGATTTCAATCAAGGCATCTCTCATCATATGCACCACAGAAGCTGTGTTTTAGCTGAGATTTCCAAAAAGAAATGAATCATTTTCTTAGATTCCACCTCCCCCCGCTCCCCATACACACACCAAGAATCCGGGGTGCGAAGGGAAAGCCTCCGGGTTGCATCCTTCCCACCTACCCGCTTAATTCCTGCTTCCTCCAGCTGGGAGGGTTTCGCCTTACCTGGGCAGGGAGTGCAGTGAGGCGCGCAAGGAACTGGGCATCCGCCTTGGCATCAGCTGCCGGGTGGAGGCAGAGGCTGTGGAAGAGGCTGCTTTCGCTCCTGCCTGGACTTCTGGGTCTTTGCAGAGAGGGAGGCCGGGTTTCCTCTCTCTCCCCCCCCCCCCCAGCCCTGCAGTATTGATCCAAATGGGCCAAGGAGGTGCCAACTTGGCCGGAGTCCCGCAAGGCTGCTGCTCATCTGCAGCCACCGAAAACTTTAGGCTGGGGAAAGACGGAGGGAGACTCCAGGTCCTCCATGAAACTTCCAAGGCACCTGCAGGCAGAGAGAGAAAGGGAGAGGGAGAGAGAGAGGCTGTTGACAGCTCAGAGCCCCCCTGGCGGTGGCTGAGAAGACAGCCCTAGGCTCCAGGGTCAGAAGCGGACCCAGGAGTGCTCTCTGTGACTTAACCGCTTCACCGCTGCAGCGGGACAGTCAGGGAGCGAGGGAGCATCCCTGGTGCGTGGCAAGGAAGACTCAGCTAATAGCCCTGCTCGTAAGAGGAACACAGGACAGAGAGAGAGGTTACATAAGGCCACAGGAAGCTGCCTGAATCACAACCCTGGTCCATTGGGCTCAAAATAGTCTGCGCTGACTGGTCCGGTGATTTCGGGAGTCTCCTGGAGACGGGGGCAGTTTTACTAGGAAACTAATGAATCTAATGAATGCCAATCAGAAGGTCGGCGGTTCGAATCCTGGCGATGGGGGGAGCTCCTGTTGCTCGGTCCCTGCTCCAGCCAACCTAGCAGTTCGAAAGCATGTCAAAGTGCAAGTAGATAAATAGGTACCGCTCCGGCGGGAAGGTAAACGGCGTTTCCATGCACTGCTCTGGTTTGCCAGAAGCGGCTTAGTCATGCTGGCCACATGACCCGGAAGCTGTATGCCAGCTCCCTCGGCCAATAAAACGAGATGAGCGCCGCAACCCCAGAGTCGGCCATGACAGGACCTAATGGTCAGGAGTCCCTTTACCTTTACCTTTAATGAATCTTAAGCTTCAGGGCCCCAATCCCAGAGGACCCCCCAGAAGCAACTTGAGTCCACAGGCTTAAAATTTTTGGGTCTACTCAGTGCTTTTTTTCTGGGGGGGGGTGGGACGCAGGGGGGTGCATACCTCTAAATATTTTGTGAATCTAAGTTTGGCCTCATCCATGGGCATTATTTCAATTTGAGTAGGAAAATGAGAGTACCCCTAAACACTTAGCTACGGCTTCTTCCTCAGGCTTAGAGCACCCCTAAAATAAACAAAGCCAGTCCTTTAGCCCAAAAATGGAAAACAAGTGAGGTCCCAAAGAAGAATGGCAACTTAAGTTGACAGAATATGCGCAGCTTGCAGACTTAACATATAGAATAAGAGAACAAGAAGAACACACGTTTAAAGAAGATTGGAAAACGTTTATTGAATATGCAGAAAATAATTGGCAGCATTAAGATAAATTCAACGGTGTAAATAAGTTTTGATGGATGCAATAATGGAATATTGATTGGTATAGTTTTTTGTAAAATATGCAGGGATTTAAGATATGTAAAATGAACCATGGAGAGAGGAGAAGCAAAGTCATGGATAATCTTAAGGATGTAAAATGAGTATTTGAAATTGTAAAACAGAAAATTTTAATAAAAATTATATATATATATATATATATATATATGCTTTCGTAGATTTTCACGGGTACAGGAATGCAGGTTTTGGTGTCCTCGGGTGTCTTCCCGTGTAAAAGTTGGGGTGTCTAGGCGACGTTTCGACGAGGTCTCACTCGTCATCTTCAGGCTGGTGCTTTCGGCTTCTAGTTACTGGAACAGACCCAGTCCCCAAAGCTGCGCTTCTGATCCCTTGCTGATTTGCCTTCAATGTACCCAAAAATGTCCTCTGGGTTGCCTCCGGTCAGTGCAACTGGACTCCCCAAAGTGGTGTATCATGGCTCTCTCAGACACCCTCCAAGGCCAGTGTCTCTCCTATATTTTTAATGAGCTGTTTTTTCATTCCATCTTTATCTCCCCTCTTTCCTCCAATGAGCGTACACAGTTCTCTGCCTTCCCCCATCCCACCCTGGTTGCATTACATTCCCCCAACAACCCTGTGAGGTAGCACAGGAGCCAACTCCTAGGGGCCGAGGTCCCTTCTTCAGCTGCCCCTCAATAAAATATTTGAGAGGGCCGAACCCACCAAAGTTGATGGGCATTGCCATTCAAATGGTGGGTCCACGCAGAGTCTTGTGATCGATTATGTGGTGTGGGGCGATTATGTGCCCCCCCCATATTTTATTTAAGTTAGCACCCCTGAGAGGTACCGTAGGTTAGGCTGAGAGGCAGGGACTAGCCCACAAGGTCACCCAGTGAGCTTCATGGCTGAACAGGGATTTGAAGCCTGGTCTCCCTTAGTCCATCCCAGCCTAATCTACCTCACAGGGTCATTGTGGAGATTAAATAAGGAGGGGACACGGGTGGCACTGTGGGTTAAACCACAGAGCCTAGGACTTGCCGATCAGAAGGTCGGCAGTTCGAATCCCCACGACGGGGTGAGCTCCTGTTATTCGGTCCCTGCTCCTACCCACCTAGCAGTTCGAAAGCACCTCAAAGTGCAAGTAGATAAATAGGTACCACTCCGGCGGGAAGGTAAATGGTGTTTCCGTGCGTTGCTCTGGTTTGCCAGAAGTGGCTTAGTCATGCTGGCTACATGACTCAGAAGCTGTACGCCAGCTCCCACGGCCAATAAAGCGAGATGAGCGCCGCTACCCCAGAGTCCTCCGCGACTGGACCTAATGGTCAGGGGTCCCTTTACCTTTACCTAGAACCATGCACGCCACCTCGAGAGAGACCTCCTCAGAGAGAAAAGGTGGAGGCTGCGAATGCATTAAATAAACAAATTTAAACTCCCCTCCAGATGTTGTCGACTGCAACTCCCACCACCCCCTCGCCACGCTGGCTGGAGGTGATGGCAGGTGAAGTCCGGAGGGCGCCAGGTCGGGGAAGGTCGTTCCAGAACCTCCCCAAGTTCCACAGAACCCGGCGGCTCCTCTGATCTCACAATGCAACCGGGCTTTGAAATGCGATCAAAAACCACACCCGGGCAAAGACAGGTTTTCCCAGCCCGACCAGCCTGCAGCTGTTCACGCACCCGGTGCATTGTGGGAGTTGTAGTTCCCTCCCCCTGCCTCCTGCGGGAACTGCATCCCCCAGCAGGCTGTGCTTCCTCGGCCCTCCGCGTGGCTGCAATAGAGGTCAAGTGCACCCTCTGGGGTGCAGCGCGAGGTGAGGGTCGCGTGTCGCTTTCCGCGGGGTGAAACCCAGGACGCGCCATTCGGAGGGAGGGAGGGAAATGGCCCAGGTCGCCTTTGCAGAGGATGCCCATTTCTCCGGCTTGCCCCTCCCCTGGCTGGTTACATGTATAGGGTCGAGAGTTACATAACGAGGCGGCGATCCTCTGCACTCACAGAAAGCTGCTGCACCGACAAAAATAGATCCAAGTGCAAAATGCAGCTGGGGGATAGAGAAGGGAAATTCTGATGTCCCTCCCCCAAGCGCCCCAGAGGCAACCTCAGATTTAATGGGGTCGCCGCCCTATAACCTTTGCGTCAGCTGCCGAGGGGCATGTCTTTTAAAATCCTAAGCCCTATTATAGTTCTCGTTGGTTGGATGAGCACTTTTAGGAATCTTTCATTTCATTCCCTCTCCTTCTTAAGTGTTTTTAATTGGTTATCAAGTGGGTTTCGGAGACCTTTCCTTGTGCAAAGCAGTGAAGAAATGGAATAGGTAACATTATCATAAAAGAACTTTGAAACAGGGGGTGTTTCTCTGTCCCCTCGATTTAGCCCATCTATAGAAGGAGGGTGATGATGATGTAATAATAATAGTAATAATAATAATATAATTGTAAAGTTGAATGGGACCCCGAGGATCATCTAGTCCAACCCCCTGCAAAGCAGGAATATAAAGCTGTCCCATATGGGGATCAAACCTGCAACCTTGGCATTATCAGCAGCACGCTCTAACCAACAGAGCTATGAATAATAATAATAATAATAATAATAATAATAGCCAATTTAAGCTGCAATCTGAGTAGGCATGAGAGAATGATAGTGGCTCAGTGGCTAGATCATCAGGCAAGGATCTGGGAGACCAGAGTTCAAATCCTCGCTCAGCCATGAAGCTCACTGGGTCACCTTGGGGCAGTCACTTGCTCTCAACCTGACCTACCATACGGAGTTGTGAAGATAAAAGTATGTATGCAACTTTGAGCTCCTTGGAGCAAAAGCTAGGAGATAAATTCAATAAAACAAACGAACAAATGGGAGTCGCAAGGGCTCAGCACCTCCCACTGAGAACGCGGTCCGATTTTGGAACTTAAAAACCATTTTAAAGCTTTGAGCACCTTCCCCTAACCAGATGCCCTCCAGTGAGGTGCCCATCCAGGCTAGGAGATCACAGTGGTCCTCTTGTGCCACACAGTTAAACAAGTACTGTGTCATGGTTCAGGGAAACACAGGTCTAAGCCATAGCTGTCAATGTTTCCCTTTTTTTAAGGGAAATTCCCTTATTCCGAATAGGATTCCTCGCAAGAAAAGGTAAAAGTTGACACCTATGGTCCAAGCCCACCCTCGGCCACTTAGTGAGCTTGGAGCTTGTCATTTTTTCAGCCTAATGCTGGGGTGAGGAATCTGTGGCCCTCCAGATACGGCTCAACTCTCAATGTGGCCAGTGCTTGGGGATGATAACACTGGACATTCCCCAACTCTGAATTTAAATTCTTGGGACCACCCCGAGCCTTTGAGGCAAAAAACAGGCCCAGCCCAATGTGTTTTGTTGCCTGAGACGAAGCTCAGGAGCCTCCACCCCAAGTATCCAGTCTGCCTAAAGATCAGGCCGGCTCCGAACAAAAAGCCATGTGAACCGAGTTTGAAAACAGCAGTCCTCACCTGTCCCCTTCTGTCCTCACCTAGATGAGTGTTACCTCTCTCCTGAAGGTCTTGGGAGGATGGCCCATCCGTGGACTTCACTGCCGTGGCTCCCACTCCTCCGTGGCCAAGGCTGACCAGACCCTGGCCTTTGTTCCTGCCAGTCCTCCCCTGGACCCGGCGGAAGTCCAGAAGCTGCAAGAGTTTGTGAGCAGGGCCCGGAGGCTCTTTGTGTTGACCGGAGCAGGAATCTCCACCGAATCTGGAATCCCAGACTATCGCTCTGAAGGCGTGGGCCTCTACTCCCGGACGGATCGGCGTCCTGTCCAGCACGCCGAATTTCTGCGGAGTTCCCGGGCCCGCCAGAAGTACTGGGCCAGGAACTTTGTCGGCTGGCCCCAGTTTTC